CATCAAGTGTCGCTCCTGCGCCGCTGTTGAGTAACGTTCTTTGAAATTACCGGAATCTGTGCTGCGCCATCGATTGGAATGCGGATCGGAAATCACTGAGGAATACGTCATCCATAAGCGTCGATATGACAATTTACACCCTTTTAGATTTGGAAAAAGAAAGTCGAAAGACTTGTGATTTTTGTTCTAATCTTTATGGTGAAGATAAGAAGTCTGTTAATCAAATAGTAACTCGTATTAAGGCAACTGGTAAATATGTTGCAGATGATGTGGTTTGTGAAGAATGCAAAGAAAAGTTTGAAAATGATAAACTACTAAAATGTGACAAGTGTGGGAGATTGCAAACTAAACATTACATTAGTTTTAGAAGTGGTGGATATGTTTGCTTTTGCATTAGGCACAATGAAGATTTAGAAGAAAAAGAACTCTCTTCTTCATTGCCATGAGAAAGCATGAGTGCTTTTTATGAAAGACAAATAAACACCCTACGAGAAGAAAAAGCTACTGCTGAAGAAACAATAGAAATGGAAAGAGAAGTCCATGAAGATTTTATGAGAGTCTCTGAAGAGTGAGGCAAAAGGCAAAAACAGGAACTGATTGAAGAAAACAAGAGGCTAAAGGAAGAGAATAAATGATTAAGAGAGCAATTAAAAGCCCAAATTGAAGTTAAAAAATAGATTGTATTACTAAACTTACTCCTCAATGCCCAACAACAAGGCTACATGCAAAAAAATGTCACCACATTTATAGTAATAAGTAGGGGTGACAGAATAATTTAGTATTTAAAAATAACAGGTTTTAATTTTTATTTTTACATTATATTTCTTCAAGTTTTTGTTTTTTTCTTGGTTTATCATGTGTTGGTTTTAATAATTGTTTAATAGTTATGATTTTCCTTTCCTCTTGGTAAATTTCATAAGTGATTTTTTCTTGATCTAGATATTTTTGGAGAGTTTGGGTATCATGCGTTTTAAAAACATAAGGTGCGATTTTTTCTCCTTGAGCTTTTTTTAGAATACTTCTAATGGTGCTGTAGTTCTTTGGTTCCATGGTTGATTTGATGTAAATTAGTTTCATATTAATATTTTTATATAGAGGTAATCCTATATTTATCACCTTCTGATATAGTAAAGTGAGCATTAAAATGAACAGGTCCATAAGTTATGATTATTGCTTTTAAAACTGCCATTAGTCAAATTAGTTAATTTTCAGCCACACCAGCCTCTTATTTAAAAATGTTCACTTTGTCTGGTTTTGTTGCAGCATGCCCAAATCATTTATTATTTAACCTTTCACCAATGATAGTAACATATATGGAATTGCAACAGAAGTTTATTGCGATGTGTCACATAATTGTTCTTCTTTATAAAACCTTTCTCCTTGATATTTAAGGGGATGATTTGAGTTTGGATTTAGTTTCCTCAAAATTGGACCTTAAAATCAATCGTTTCATAACACTGCTATATTAGTCCCTATTGAAAAATAAATGTTTTATTGGTTGATTTCATAAGTTTACTATTCATAATTAAAATATCCAAATTTCTGATAGACCATTCGCCAAAACATTTTTTCTATTTCAGCCAAAGACTTTCACTTAAAAAATTCTTGCTTCCACTCCTGCCATTACAAAAAAAATGTAGCCCATCAAAATAAAAAAAATTAAACAAAGTATTACTTCACTTACTATATAGTTGTTAAAGTTAAATATACTAAAATAATTATATGTTAACGCTAACAATAAGTATTTTGCAAGCAATTCTTTTCTCTATATTATTAATTATGTTAGGATTTGTAATTGGCTATATAGTCCTCAACTACTTTGCTAAAAAGCAACTCCAAAAACTCCAAGAACAAGTAGAATCATTTGAAAAAGAACAAATAAAAAATACGTTAACCTCCCTTGGACAAAAACCTTCTGAAGCACAAATAAATAGAATTATTAGTATGGCCAAAAATGCAAAGAAAAAAAAAGAGGAACAAAAGGGGCAAAAATCCGTAAAAAAGAAAAAGTTATAATATATGCGGATCAATTTGTTTCTAAGTTGTGGAAATTGTTCTAAAAAGCATCGAAATTATCGAACTTCTAAGGCTAAAAAACCGCAAGGCAGCAAATCAACTAAACTAAGTTTAAAAAAGTATTGCAAATTTTGTCAAAAAACCCAACTTCATAAGGAAGAAATTATTAAATAGGAGAATTAAAAGCACTTAAAAATTTCTAAAAAACCCCACGCTTTTTTTTTTGTAAAATGGATTTAGAGCAACATCAAATTAATTTATAACACTATGGTAAACGCACAAGAATGGCTGGATAACGAATATCCATTAGAAAACAGAGGCCAAATAAAGAAATTAAATATCAGTAGAAGAAATTTAGAAGGAGGACTCGATTTTTCTGGATTTACTAATTTAGAAAAATTAGATTGTTCTTTTAATAGATTATATTATAAAGTGGTATTAAAAAACTGCCCTAATTTAATTGAACTTAATTGTTCTCATAATCATTTTTTTGAAAGGAGTTTTTTACGAAGTCTACCATCACCTCAAAAGTTAATCAAATTAAACCTCTTAGGTAATAATTTTAAATACAAATGAGAACTAGATATTTGACATCATTTTTACAATTTGTTAGAATTCAATGGCGAAAAAAGGAAAAACTGAATTATTAGAGACTGATATGGACCGGGAATACTGACAGAATGAGAATTGCTGCAGGAAAGATGTGAAAAACTAGACGAAGAAATGGATGAAGTGCAAAGCAAAAACAACACATTGCAAATTCAGTTAAATGCAAAAGAAATCGAAATTTCGTGATTAAAAGAACAGTTAAAACAATCCCTCGGAGAGAACGAATACAAAGTCCAAATTGAGGGTAATTATCCCGAAAAATTTTTATAATATTATGGTGGACTTTAATAAACATTTAAGATTAGATATTTACGGGATTTTTCGCTTGCCTTTCACTGCCTCAAAAGCCCAAATTAGAAAAAGGTTTCAGAAACTATCGCTTCGATTTCATCCGGACAAACTTGGTAGGCCGCCTACTCCTGCAGAAGAGAAAACTTGGTATGACATACTGGACGCTTGAGAAGTTTTTAACGATGCATCTCTAAAAAATGATTGAGACAATTACAGTAACTACATTATCGCCCAAGATGAAGGAAGGACAGCATTCCTTTGCTTATGTGAACATTGCAGTACTCAACCTATATATAACGACGAAGGGGAACAAACAGGTTCGGGAGTAGTTATTGAAAATAGGGATCTTGCCTATAAGTCACCCATTAGTATGAGATGGTTTTGTTCCCCTGAAGGTGCAACACAGTGAGAAACAGAAAAGGGATACACTCCAGAAGTTCACGGCTATACTGAAGCCGACCAACCTCCTCCGCAGCCTTCGCAGCCTCCAACTCCCACCCGAAGATGCCCGGGTTGTAACCATGAAAGGCCTTTTGTAGATGGTGGAAGAGGCTGAAAGAGATACAGTTTAGAGACTGAGCAATGCTGTAGTGAATATTGTTTAGACATTTATCTACAAAGCATAGGTATTGCTGCCACAAAATGCAATTTTCGCCTTTGTCGCAAAATTAAGAGAGCGGGAGATGTAGGAGAATGGATGAGAGATCCTGTAACTCATACTTCTTATTGCAGTCCAACACATTTTGCACAAGAAAAATCTATTAACGACATAAACGCAGGCTTAGGGAATCCTTCATCTAATGATCCTCTGCAAACTAAAAAAACTGCCGCTATTACAGAGATAGAAGGTGCTCTAAACCAAACCCCTCCAGTAACTAATAATGAATTAGAAAATACTAACCGAGGTTGGCGAAATGAAATTCAAAATTCTACTTCAGCTCCGAATATTACTACTATCAAAGACCGAGTTTTACAAGATATTTCCCGCAAGCGCCAAGCAAAAAACCCCCTCCCTGGATTAAAATCAACAGCAATTAATCAAATTCTTGCTGAACTAGCAAAAAACCCTCCGGTTGATGAAAGTGAAATAACTAACCGTAACTGAAAGAAAGAAATTAATGATGCCTCCTCTGGAAGTGATGTTAATAGCATTAAAAATAAAGTATTGGCCGATATTCGCAATAAAAGAGCAAAAAAAGGAGAAAAGAGCCAACTCAAAAACCTCTTGTCCCAAGCTAAAGAGCAAAAAAATTGAGACGATTATCAAAATTTAAAAAACATTTTCTTGCAAATCGAGCAATTAAGTTCCTCTGATGCTTATCAACAAGAAATCTCAGAAATCCAAGCCATTAAAAACAGGCTCCAAGAATTAAACCCTACACAATACCAACAAATAGTAAAGGAAACCCTAAACCAACTGAAAACAAGCAATAAATTAAGTGATGATGATCTTGATGATGAAACGAACAAAGCAATATCAGAAGCCATCCAAGATCCTACTAATGACCAAAAGACAGAAAAAGCAAAAAAAAAATATTTTAGTTTGTGGAGCACGCAAAGAACTAACTGAGATTTTAAATCAAATTAACAAAGTTTGAGGAAATCAAAAAGAAAAACAAAATTTACTTAATCAATTATTAGATTTTGTAATTCGGAATAATTTCACCAAACAAGCCTATGAAGAAAAAAAGTCAACTGTTGATGAATTAATAAATAAACTAATGGGGAAAGGTCCAGAAAAGCAGACCCAAAATCCCGAATTTCCATGACTTAAAGCACTTCTCTAATTGTCTTGCCAATCATTCTAATTGGATATTTTATTTTGAAAATTTAAAAAAGAAAAACAATCAAATATTCCAGCAAAAAAATCAATAACTAAAAATTGAATCCTCCCCTAAAATTATTAATAATATATGATGAAAACAGTCAAACCTTTAACTAATTCTAGGCGCAAGACTATCTTGATAAACTATCGGGAAAAGTTGGTTCCCTATAAAAACAAACCTCCTCGTAAATTACTCCAAATACTTCAACCTCACTCAGGAAGAAATAACCAAGGTAGAATTACTGTCCGCCACCAAGGCGGTCGCCACAAAAGAAAATATCGATTCATTGAACGTATGGCAAAAAGCGGTCCTGGTAATCCCTATCAATCGGATGGACTAGAAGGAGAAGTGATGAGTATTGAATATGACCCTAACCGTAATTGTTTTATTTTACTGATAAATTATAAAAAATATTTTAGATATATTATAACTCCTGAAGGACTAAAAGTTGGCGATAAAATAATCAGTGGAGAAAGCGAAGATATTCCAATCCAAGTCGGGAATAATTTGCCACTTTACTACATTCCAGTCAACACTCCAATTCACAATGTAGAACTAAAGCCAAAAAAGGGAGGACAACTAGCACGGAGTGCTGGCACTTATGCAAAAATAATTGGAAAAGTAGGGAAAGACGGAAGAGTTCCGGTAAAATTAAGATCCAAAACAGAATATAGGATTTTGGCAACTTGCCGAGCAACTATCGGTAAAGTCAGTAACAGCGAGGCCAATTTAGTCCGATTAGGAAAAGCAGGCCGGTCTCGTTGGTTAGGCATACGGCCAACCGTAAGAGGAACAGCTCAGAATGCAGTTGACCATCCGCACGGAGGAGGAGAAGGAAAAGCGGGGATTGGTCATCCTTCTCCACTTAGCCCTTGGGGTAAAAAGACCTTAGGGAAAAAAACCCGCAAAAAAAATAAACTCTCTGACAAATACATTACCAAAAATAAATAATTAACCACTATACCACTCTAACTATAATAATTTATGTCACGCTCATTAAAAAAAAGTTTATTCGTTAACGAAAAATTAAGAAATAAAATCGAAAATAAATTAAAAATAATTGCTGAAATAGAAAAGCAAGGCGACAAACACGATGAAATTGCTAAAATTCGCAATACTCCTATTAAAGTTTGATGTCGAAATTCAGTAATTTTTCCAGAAATGATTGGGTTCAAGGTTTTAATTCACAATGGTAAAACTTTTTTTGAGCGAGTGATTACTTCTGAAATGGTAAACTATAAACTTGGTGTATTTTCTCCTACTCGGAAACCTGGCAAGCACGGAAAAGCCGGTACCCGCTAAGACAAAATATTATATAAAATAAATTTAGGATAACAAATCAAAAGTTATCTATATAATTATAATAAATTTCAAGGGTTCTTATTTATCCCACTTGCTAATATCCATGGTAATTAGGAAGTAAAAAATAACTGTTTTTTTTTTTTTTGCTAACAAAAATTACCAAGCAAGTTTTTTTCTCCCAAAAAAAGAGATAAAAAAAAATGTTCTAGTTAGTTTCTTACTAATTGCTACTAATTAGAGCATTACTAAAAGCAATTAGTAAACACAAGGCAGTTGTTTTTAAAAAATTTGCCAAGCAGTTATCTAGTGCTATTTAAATTATTAGGTGCTAAAACTAGGTGAGGCTAAATCCTAGCAAAAAAATAAATAAAATATTATGAATCATAGAATAAATAATAATAACATAAACTATGTAAAAATAAATGGTCTTAAATATATCACTCAAGAACAATTAAATAAACTTAGTTATAAAGAAGCAAATTTTCTTGCTTGTAAATGCGGCAAAAAACCTGAATTTAGATGAATAAGAAGCGAAGTAAAAGGTAGGAAATTATTTTGTGGGATTACTCCTTATAAAGGTCGCAATAATGAGAAATTATGCTGTAATTGTGCTAATTTCTGCTACCATTGTGGTCGGGAAGAGGAAAGATACGAATGAAGTTACGATGAAGTCACCCATAATAATCCCAGCGGTGAATGAGCGGTAAGATGTTGTCCACAGTGCTGAGATAAACATGCAAAAGGAAGCAGAGTTTACAATGCTCGACGCAAAAATAACGAGCAAAAGAGTAATGAAAAAGAAAACACTGGAAATTGTGATTATTGCGAAAAATTAAGTGAAATTAGAGTTGGTAATGCTTGTTGGGGGAAGAGTTTTTGCAGCAATGATTGCTACGAATTGTGTTTTGCCCAAGTTTCCTCTCTCAAAGAGCGTGACGAGATTCGTGCCCATTGTTGTACTTGTGGCTTCCGAATTCTTGACCAAGGCAACAATTTTACAGAAAATCTCAAAAATGAAAATAGAAAATTCTACTGTTCTGCCAAAAGTATTAACGCATTTTACTGCTCGGAAACATGCTTTCAAAAAAGAGGGGATAAAAGTGGTATGAGCGGAAGTGCATTCCATGACCGCAATCCAATCCATTCTACTATGTAAATTTTTGGTATATTTGATTCCCGCATTTTGTTGTAGTTTGATCTCTCTTTCTATCACTAGAATTTGGTTGATTAAAATTAAGGCTGTTGATATCTCATTGACTGATTACAAAACAGTGATTTTTTATTGATTGTGTCGTGACGTTACACGTGGGAGAGCGATCGTGTAACCGCCTTGAAATTTAGCGTCTTCCAACGGCTGTTATCGGCAACGCCTACTAATGCTAATTCTTCTAAACAGTTAGTGACCTTTTGAATACTTACGAAGATTTCGTATCGTATACGCTAATCCGTTGATATTTATTTAACCTCGATTATCGACGATTATGATCCGATGGGATTAATTTCGGAAATCTATCGTTTGGGAAAGGTTTTCTAAACTAACGCGTT